AAGACAACCCTAGCTTTATTCTGAACACCATCAGGGTGTCTAAGTGTTATTCTAAGAAAAACATACCAAGTGGATACAAGTTTTCGAAAAATTAAATAAGTCAGTTTGCAAGACGGCTCAAACTGCCCCAAGGGTAGCAAATTTCATTAATGGCTCCAAAAGATAACTGGATTGCCCTAACCAATTGGACACTGGGTGCAATCTGTAGCTAAAAGAGTAGGCATTTCCATAAAACTTGGTTTGTAACCGAAAATTCGTGTGATGTACCTCTAAATGGGCTAGTTGTGGAGTGAAGACGTTTTACTTTTACCTGATTTTGAGGTTAAAAAATATTTAACCCCTCGCCAATCCGATGGTTGCCAGTGAACTTTGTCATACCTTCCAGAAAATCAGTCAGGGTGGTAATGGCTTCTTCTATAGTGTGAGTCAGGTCACTGCGATTGCTCTTTCCTCGTGAAACTTGATGGTGGACCAATGTGCCCCATGGACCAATGTGCCCCACTCTCCCCTACATCCCCCATACCGGCCGCAGGGACGCAGACGGGCGTTTTGTCTGACCGGGTTTGACTTTCATATGGGCTTCCGCCCGCCCCGTCGGCGTGACGCTCGACACAACACGTGTGGAGAAATCGACTCGACGACGTTTACCCCATCTTTTCTAGTTATCTCCCAACGAAACGCAATGACGGTTCCTCACACCAGCTAGTTTTCAGTATGCGATTTCACACGTCCTTCCAACCATTCTTGTTGTCGCCACCTACCCCCCTCTCGTTTCAAGATTCAAAGTACCCGTCGCAGCCATGGTATTTCTTTGCCGGCAAAACACACGGTCGGCGTGATGGGTGATGGGCAGGAAGTGCCGCCCGAAATGGGAAGGTCGTGAGGCTGGCGCGGTGTGCGCCGGTGACGCTGGCGGGTCGTGATCGACACCATAGCCGGGCCTACGGGCGGCGGGAGCGCAGCTAGCGCAGCTGGGCCGCGGGCTGTACCGGGCTGTACCGGGCTGTACCGGACTGTACGGCGCGCCGCCGAGCTGCGCGGGAACCGCAGGGGGAACCGCCACTTAGGAGCGATGTGTAGTTTTAGTTTCGCATGTACTTGTGCCGCGAGCCTGTTTTCGCGTTGTCCGCGCGGTGCCCGCCTAGCTTTTGCTGCCGTTGGCTGGTTTCGGCAAACACTGCGTTTGCGCATCCAATGCGCATCAACGTCTCTAATGCGGTTGATGCAGTTCGCGAGCTGCGCAGCGCGCCGCCGTGGTGTGGCGTGGCGTGGCGAGGCTCACACGTTCAGGTTCGAGCGTCGTGTTGTCGTCACAGTGGCCCCGGGCGCGCGCGGCTCTAGTCGTGTGTAGAGGGGGCACCAGCACCAGGTCCGCGGCGCCCTCTAGCGGCTGATCGTCGCTCCTGTTACGCAATCAGACAGTTCGTGTCATACGCTCCGGCCCCCCGCCGAAGAGGTATACTCGTGCGCGAATAACGCCGAGCCGAGCTACCGCCGCCCGCGACCAGCGCGCACAAGTGCGTCAACGAACGGCGCCAAAAGACACTGAACGACGCGGGTGGGAACACCTGCACTAGCTCGTCTAGCAGGAGAGGCTCGCTTCAGGACATCGTTCGTCGTCATCATTCTGATGGCATGGCTGGACCTCGCGAGCCGCCGTGCGGTCATGCTGTGCCGCAAGACACGCCTGTGTGAGGGTTGCCTATCGTCTGAACCACGGCGATGACCAGGCGAGGCTGGCGGTCGGCGCCTTGTGGACGGCGCGTCACTTCTCCAATGGAAAGCGACATCCAACTACGTCCAACTGCACTTGAGTTGAGACGATAGGATCGTTTCGACGGATAGCCCCGTCCGAGCAGCCGCGGTGCCCCACACCGACATACATACAAGAGTGCAAACAAACACACGGGGGCGCTCGAACCGTACGGTGTGCTGCGAGCAGCTGTGTGCGACAGGGGCATCCCTCGATGCCGTTGTCGGACGCACACACAAGCGCGCGCGCGCGCACACAGACACCCAGACACAGCAGCGGCTAGCCATGCTATCAGCCGCAGCCTCCGCACCCCGCGACACGTGCGGTCCATTACATCACCGGCGGTGCGTGGAAATTCCTTGTTTTGCTTTTCGCGCTACCTTCCCGCCCGCCCCGCCACACCTTTCCCTCGCCCTCCATTAGCCGCTGCTAGATCATTCGGCGTGTGAGCTAGGCTGGGTCCCGCGGCCATGGCCGACCAGTGACCAGGCCCGGCCCGGCCCGACGGCGAGCGAGCGCTGCGCGCCGCCCTGGTCCTGTGGTCAGTGGCCGCTCATCAAGTCCCGATTCCTCCCCTCCCCGCCCCCTTCCCCGCCTCTCGCTCCTCTGATAACGCCCTTCACAGCTGGCCTGCCTCGCGGGCCTGGCCCGTCGCCTGCAACCGATGCAGGGCCATAATGGATGTGTTTGCTCGCCAGATATTGACATAACAATTGTTCACGGCTGGGCGGGTTTTCCTCCCCTCCTCCTCCCAGGTAAGTATTAGCTCCTGAGTAGCTCCGTATCTCCTATCATATCGCCCGCCAGGCCCCACCCGCC